GCTCCATTTCTGGGCTGTTGTGAAGGATGCACTGAGCTTTTCTCTAAACATCCACAGAATCCAGGGAAATGGCACTTGGTTCCTGGTTGGAACTGTCTATTGCTCGTTCGGTTCACTGACAGGGAGAATCTGAGTGGGAGCAGCTGTCTGAATGGTCTTAATAAATCTGGATGAGTGGGTAAGCAAGAAAGGAAGCCAGGCCTTAAAGACTGGGAAGAAGTAGCCTAAGGCCAGGAAACCGAACTTTGCCCAAGGAACAGTTGTGAAAGCTCTTCTCAGTCATGTGCTGACTCACTGAGCAGGTAGAGTGACTTATCTACTTAGTGACTAAATCAGTACCAGCCCAGAAACACAAGGAAACTAGAGTTAAGACCTAAAAGGAACTATAAAAGAGACTACAGATTAAGGAGTTGCCTTGGAGAGGAAACAGCATGCAAACTGTTAGAAGCAAGAAAGAGCCAGCATTCTTCTTGGATGGAGATCATGCAGGATTTCCTAGGTTCTATCATGATGAATGGATTTAAATGAGATTATGAAAGAAAACCTGATAAGATAACTAACTGAAGGATGTTTTGTTTTATCAGTGAAGATATAAGAATGTAGGTAGGTTTGAAAGAAACAGGTGGATCAAGGACTCTTTTTCCTTTGGCATTGTGTAACTGATCTAAATGTCAGTAATTGCTCTGGTATTGTTTCTTGGATCCACAGAATGGATTTAACTCAAGGTTTGGTCTATCTAGCCCTCACAACTGGCGTTAGAGTAACCTCTATCTCAGTATTTTCCCACTGCAGGTCCCAAATTTTTCTTTGAGAAGGTAATACCATCCTCTCAAGTACTAATTTGCTTTGACAAGACAGCTTCTCCCAGGATATTCCCACAGGCCTAGGCCTAATCTCTCTGACTCACTGCAAGGGCCCATGTGCACTGAACTCATAGCCATTATTATTTCTATGGGAAAACACAATTTATATAACAGCCTCCCCTCTGGAAAACACTCTTTTTAAGGATAAACAGTGAGCTTACCCCCGCTTCATGATTGTGCCTTAAAGAATAAGGAGGTAAGTTTAAGGAGATGAGTTCAGAGCCACCCAAGTGAGCTGTCAGGGTCGGAATTAGACTACTGCCTTGAGGGTTGTGTTGCTTTCCTGACAGCCTCCAGAAGAAGGAACCGGACTGTTGTGGGTAGGTGGTTTGGCCCAAGTACTAACAGCAAAGTTGGCATGTACAAGAAAATAAAACCTGTGATCATTCTAAAATCTAATTTTGGCCTCTCATTAGGAAAACAAAATGCATTCTCCAGCTTCTCTTGGGAAGTTGATCTCCCTGCTTTTCTTCTCTGTTCCATGCCATCAGTTTCACACTAACAGTCCTTTTACCATCCAGGGTCCAGCTGTCCTCTTGCTTGCTGAGGCAGAGGAATCTTCCCTGTCTTTCCTCAGTTGCACTACAGACCCCTGTCTATCTGCCACACATCTCTGTTCTTTCACTTGCTCAATTATGGTGCTTTTCCCCTGCCTTTTCTCTAAGCTCTCCGGTCCTGCTTGGAAGCCCCTGTAGCCTTCTCTGTGTTAATTTCTTTTCCTTCCTGGTGCCTACTCCTCTGAGGATATCCAGGCCTGGTAAGTCTGTTTAGTCATGGAGAATTTTATCGCTAACCTTCTGAGTAATACTACATCGGTTACACCCTGACAGAAGACCGGGGATGGGAGAAGACTCTAGGAAGCTTCCCATCTTGGTAAGGACCAAGGCTACTCAGGTAGAACTGTTCTATCTCGTCTTCAGTTTGCACCCCACTGGCAGTGGAAGCACTTTTACTTTGTTCTGGCTCACCACAATAAAAAGTAATCTACTCCTACACTAAGACAGTGCCTTAGGCCATCTATAGAATTGGTTTAGGGGTCAGAGTACAAGACAAGGGTTTCCTGGGAAGAGAGTACTACCATCTTTTCCACAATGCTTGGACTTATAGATGGCACTCTGCCTAGATAATTATCCTTCTTAACTAGCTCCATGGGTATACGTTGTTTTTCAAGGTTCAAGAACATAGCGACGGGAACTGGTCTTTTAGTCTTATGCTTTATATGTATTGTCAAATCACTGCCAACTATACAGCACTTACTACATAATGTGAGGCACTGTGCTAAGGGTCAGCGACATATGAATATATAGATGTAAAAGAAACTTTCAGTTCTCACAACCTGTGTAGTAAAGTAGATACTGTGTCTATTTTACAAAGTAAGAAATAGAGTATTTGCCCAAAGTCACAGAGCTAGTAAATGATAGAGCTAGGATTCAGCCCCAGGAGACTGACCGCAGAGTCTGCTTAAGCACTATGCGACACTACTTTGTGATGACCAATCTAAATCCTGAAGTCCTTAATCCTGCTCCAAAGAGTAATTTGCTCCATTTTAATTTAAAGCAAATATGAAAATAGTGTGAATCCACTTCCCAAACCCTTTTGCCCCTGCAGGGGAAAGGGTGCTTTCTGAATGGATGGAGACCAAGAGAGTTGCTCTGAGCCAAAAGCTGCCTTGCCGTTTAGCTGAGGCAGGATTTAGAAATGGCATAAACAGTGTCTGCATTAGCCGATGGCATGGAGTGCTGGGTGCCAGCAAAAGAGATAAAATCAGACATATGTTTGGATATAAATGTTCTCTCTCCTTCTTTAATTTTAAATCCTTGCTGCTTTGTTGCAGTGAAATGGTAGAGCCTTAATTGTGGACTGCAGCCCCCTGAGGTAGAAGCCTGGAGTGAGTAAGGCCCTCTTAGTGCTCTCCCAGTCTAGTCAGCACCACTGAAGGAAGCCAGAGGCCATGGACTCTGGACCTCTTCCCTGCCAACAATAGAACTGTCTTGCAGGGACTCTGTGCACATTGTTCCATCCAGCACCCAGCAAGTCGCTGGCCTCAATACATGCTAAATAGCCACAATAAAGCTAATGTCTCCAGGCCTTAGAAACTAGCCTGTCTACCTTCATTGATAATAGGATGCAGCATTATATTGAAGGATAATAAGAAGCTATGGAGCAGATTATGAAAAGTGCCTACTACAGTGTGGTATTAAAGGAGTTCAGGAATTAAGGACTTCTCCCTCCCCTCAGCATCCTCATCATTGATCCAAGTAAGTAGAAACTACTCTATCATGGAACATTTCTGTGATAGGTGTTTCAAGGCCTCTGTTAGTCCTCTACTCTGCAAAGCTCTCCAGCCCAAGGTTGAGAGGAGGCCAAGCCATCTTATCTTCACACCATCTTACCTACTTTACCCTTGCTTCTGTAGCTGTGACTATTTTTGGAGTTCTGCAGTTTGTCCACCATTAGGCCTAAGTGTCAGGAAACTGTTGTGTGTAATCCTGAGAGAAGTCCAACCGCTTAGTGAACACATTTGGAGCCCCTGTGGTCAGAATTTTGGTCAGGCCTTGCAAGGCAGTAGAGCTGGTGTGATGAAGAATGAACTGCTCTCAGTAGAAGGAGAGGAGAACACCAAAAGTGTCTGTGGGAAGACACATTTTAATTGCCTGTTGGCAAAGAAAGAAACATGTTCTTGATAGTCAATAAAAAGTTTGAGTAAGAAATCACATTTGACTTGGGAGTCAAGAGGCCTGGGGTTTAGTCTCACCCCTTCCACTAACTAGCAGCATGACCTTGGATATATGTCTTTCAGTTTCTCTGGGGCTTGATTTTCTTAACCATAAAATACAAAGGGATTAGACTAAATGATTTTCCACAGCCTTAAAAAAAAATTCTATAATGAAAATTCTATAACTGTATATAATCAGCTGCAGAGTCTTCACCTCTAACATGTTGCTGTAACCACTCCCCATGAAGAGCTACCAACCCATGTTCCATTCCCAGATAACCAAATTACAGCTTGGCCAGGCCCAAGGACCATTCACTTACACTGCCTTAAAGGCCGCACTTTCCATGCTCATGGGGCTCTTCTCTAAAAAGCCATTCCAAGTTCCTGCTACTGAAGAGGATATACCCAGCACTGTAGCAAAGGAAAGTTACTGCTCCAAGTGCTGAAACAGTGTCATTGGGGAAAGGAACTATCCTTGCAGCACCAAAGATACTTATGCCTAGGAACCATATTCTCAGTCTCCCGCAATCCCTCAAGGTTCCCCTGGAAAGCACTTCTCCCTCAAATCCCAAGACCGAATGTGATCCTCCCCAGGACAAATGCGTTTGTTCCTAGAACTCTTCCCAGTATTGTTTTAGTTCCATTTCTCTACCTCTCCCCTCAAACCTTTTTTTATCCACAGACCTTTTGTCATTGCAGAGTTACTGCATAATTTCAAGACTACCCAGATAGTTTTTTAAAAAGGTATTAGGGAATTGGCTCTCCATCTGTCATTTCTGAGACAACTTTACAATTGCTCTGGGATGTATGTCAGGAAAACTGTTCTAAATAGCTTGAATTGTGTCACTTGAAAAGGAAATTTTTTGCTTTTTCAACTGGTCTTAACCAAGTCCCACCCTTGATCTACTGAATTTTCTCTTCATTGAGGGTAGAGTGGTAAAGGAGAAGGCTGAGGGACCAGATCTTTGGTGCCTAGGAACATGAGTGGCAGTTTACAAACACTGATACCCCAAAATGATCTGTATACCCAGGAGGACTAAGAATTGGCCCTTTCATAGCCATGTCTTAGCAACTGCTTCAAAGTGCTGCCTGCTTCTTTCGCTCCTCAGTGCCAGAGAGAGCACACCCACTCAGTCCCGATTCCCTGCATTAACATAAATACTAGTGCTAAAGAAACACAGGGTCCTGGTTCATGGAGCCTCCCTGGTAGTCACTGCTCTGGGAACCTCAGGTGACAGACCCCACCTCTACCAAGACATGTTGGACTATTTAATATTTAACTCCAAGAAAACAGAAGCAACACTGCCTGAGGGAAACTGCAACCAAACAACATTACTGCAGCCCTCTTAAATTCGGGCCCCCTTGAGTCCTTGGGTAGAGCTGGTGCTGCCTGACCAGCAAGCAGCTTTTGCTGAGGTGGCATTTAACTTCTGGCCAGGTCCCAGGAGCTGAAGTTGACCCATTTCCCCTGGTTTTCCAGGGCATGGGGAATTTGGTTATACCCCAACAAAGCCAGGGACTAAAACACTTAGCTTGTGGAAGATGCACTAGAATCGGGGTGCATTTATTAAAGCTAAGGAAAGGTTGTTGACAGCTTTAGCATTTACCCATACTTTAAAAAATTTAACATTTATCTACCCCCCTTGTACTCCCCCCATTTTTTCTGCAAATAGAAATGATTTGGTCACTGCTCATAAGAATCTATAGTTTCAGGATCTTATTCAATTTAACCCTTTGGGGACATTGGATTAAAAATTGTACAATATTTATTAAAATACAAAAATACACTTTTCTCACATTACAATCAGTTGTTTTGTTGGCATTCCCCCCACCCACACCACCCCCTTTCAAATCTGAACCCTTTATTTCCTCTTAAAGCTAGAAGAATAACTGAAAGACGTTACATCATTAAATGGACCAAAATAACAGAGATCTCTGCCTTTCTCCAGCCCCCACCCTTTCTCCTACACCTCCTCAGAGGAGGGCTTGGGGGAGGGAAGCTTCCCCCCATGGTGCCTATTCAAGAGGACTCCACACAGAACTCACTCATATATGCATGCGTGTCACTTTTCACCGTGGATTTCACATCGTTTTTGTGAAGCATCATGGTTGGGAAAGGCTTCCTTAAGTGAGCCTGTGCCCTTTTTGTCTCTACTCATGTTCTACCCCCACTCCATCACCACAACCAGTTGGCGACAACTGTAATAATCCCTAATGAATCAGCATTTAGAATAGTCACCAAATCCAAAGCATGAGAAAAGCTTCCACTCCCCCAAGCTCCCCACTACCAGCTTCTCCTCCCTCTCCACCTTAAAACAAACAAGACCTTTTTGAAAAATCATAAAATGCCATCATTGTCTACAATCATTTGTCAGATACCTGGAACAACAGGTGGACATGGCACAGTACTAATTTATGGCCTCCCGTCAATCATTCTCCCTGCTGCTCCTCTCCTTCCCACCCTCCCCTGATGCCGCACCCCCTTCAGGGGCCTCCTCCTGGGAAACCCTGAATAGACACATGCCTTGCAGAGTGGGTTCAGCCCAACTGCAGAAATCTGGTGCAATGTGAAAGCTTTTGACTCAGAGCTACGCCAGCTCCTTTCCTTCTCGGCTCCATCCTGAAGCACTATCGGGCAAGGAATACTTGTGTCCCAATGCCCAAATCCAGAACTTGTACACATGGGCAGAGACTTAGCCCCTTTAAGGATTCACTTGAATTTCAGTGGTTTTCTGCTTAAAATACATCTATAGATCTATCTTCTCTTCTCCTTGATCTCAAGAAAAAAAAATTATTGCCTCTCAACATTTTGGCACAGTACAAATTCATAGTGCTTTTTTTATTTGTTTGTTTTGTTTTGTTTTTTTAATAAGATAAATCTGCAAAGACAGCTCTCAGCTTAAGAAAGATGTCTGTAGAAATGGGTATGCCTGAATCCTACAAAGCATCTTCTTAAAAAAATGGCAGATGCATTTATCCCCCCTACTCCTCAGCCGCCCACATCCTGCCTTTGGGGCTGTGGGGTATTTGTTGATGTTTTTGTTTGTTTTAGCAATTTCCACCTTACAACAGAAATCCCTTCTGGCGGCATAACAAGTTGACTTGTGGTTTGTACCCCACAATATTCCCAGGATTCCCCTCCCTCCCCCTTAAATAGAACTTACAAGTTAGAAAATAGTTTTGCTTTGATTTTCTTTTTAAATTTTAATATAATCTGTTTTTTTAACCAGCCCATAGATTTAATATATAAGCATATACAAGAAAAAGTCTCTCCCCACTCTGTACAAAAGTTTCTGTCTTTTTTGTGTGTGTGCATTCTATTGCATCTTTTAAGGTTTTGGGGGAGGGGAGTCATATTTGAGTTTCCTGTACCTTGTCCTTGGTATGGGTCTGAATTATATAAGGTTCAGAGATAGTGGTGACTGTGGGGTGCAGAGAATTCCCCAGGCTGTTTTCTGTCCAGTGGGCCCCATGTGCTGGTTTGTAGGTGTTGTAGTTAATATGGTCATGAATTGTGGGCAGCACTACTGCCCCCTCACCTGATACACCGGATGGAGCTGCTGTTGCTGCCGTGGATGCTGCTGTTGGGATGTCTTCATCCACCTGGATAATTTCAACTGTCCGGGCGGCTGTGACTGTACTCCGCTGCTGGTGCCGCTTACGAAGTTTATAGAAGACAATCAGCATGGCGGCAGCTAGCAGAGTCACTGCCACAAAGCAGCCAATGATGATCTTGGTGGTCTTCATGACTTCGTCCAGGCTTGTCTGCATCTTGTCAGTGGTGTCTGTCGCGGGTACTGCCACCTGCTTGGGCACACGGGTGGTCTGAATGAGCACCGTGGTAGAGGTGGTGTATGCCGGCTGATAACCAGTAGATGTAGTAGGAACAGGCTTGTACTTCCGTGTTGTGTCTTCGGGCGAGCTCTCCGTGGTCTCCACTGTTACTGTGGTAAAGAAGCTGTAATTGGAGGTGTTGAGCTCGGCTGTGCTCACATTGAGGTAGGCCGAGGCGTTAGAGTTGCCTGCCACATTGGTCACCATGCATGTGTACACCCCAGTGTCTGAGAGCAGCACATGGGAAAAGTTCAAGGTGCCATCATTGAGGACAGAGATCCTTGGGTGGCGGGAGGCGTGGCTGAGCACTGTCCCATTGGGCAGTAACCACTTTACAGAAGACATGGGGGGAGTCCGACATTTAAGTTCCGCTATCCGACCCTCAGAGATATTGAGGTCCCGAGGTGCATCCATGATGAAGGGGGCAGAGCACTGGAAGGAGGCCTGGTCTACCTCCACCAGGTAGCGGCCTCGCATGTGCATGGGAGAATGACAGCGGCCACAGCAGGTGGAATTGGTGGGTATATATTCCCGGAGCCACCAAGCGAGCCACAGAATGTCACAATCACAGTTCCAAGGATTGTGGTGTAGGTGCAACTCTACCAGGTACCTCAGCGGGGTGAAGAGGTCATGGGGCAAAGAAGAGAGGTTATTATGAGCCAGGTTGAGTTCCACAAGGGAGGCCAGCCCATCAAAAGCATTCCGCTCAATCAAGCTGACCTGTGAGTTCATGACCCATAGCTTCTTGAGAGAGCTTAGGCCATGGAAGGAGCCAGGCCTGATCTCAGGAAAATGGTTCCCTGACATCTCCAGCTCCTCCAGCCCCACCAAGGGGGTGAGATTGGGCATGTCTTTAATGTTGCACATGCCCAAGTTCAGGTACTTGAGGTTAAACAGTCCCTCAAAAGCCCCCTCAGAGATATACTCCAGCTTTTTGAGCTCCCCCAAGTCCAGTCTCATGAGGGAGGGCACTCGGTTGAATGCATAAGAGGGGATGCTTTCTATGGGATTGTTGCGAAGCCAGAGCTCCCGCAGCTTGGACAGGTACTCAAAGGCCCCACTGGGGATGACAGTCAGCCAGTTGTCAAACAGCTCCAGGGTGTTGAGGCTGGCCAGGCCATTGAAGGCCCCCACCTCAATCTGCCGGATGGAGTTCCTGCCCAGTTGCAGGACCTCCAGGTGGTGGAGGTGTCGGAAGGTGTCGGCCTGGATCATCTGGATGTTGTTTTCCATGAGGTTGAGGTACCGGGTGTTGGAGGGAATACCCTGCGGGACCTCCGAGAGGCCCCGGCGGGTGCACACCACCTTGCTGAACTGGTTACTACAGGAGCAGACAGAAGGGCAGTTCTGGGGCCCGGCTGAGGCAGCAGCAGCGATGGCTGCACACAGAATCCACACTTGCGCCGTGAGGTAGACGACGGGGAGCAGGATGGCATTCCAGGTGTGGTGCACAGTTACCTGCCACAAGAGCTTCATGGTGTGGCACGTTCATAATTCACCATCGCCTGGGATTTTGGCTCGGAAAGGAGAACCAGCCCTACCCCGGCTTAAGTGAGCTAGGAGCTCCTCTTTCCATCTGGAGAAGGAGGTGCGGAGGGGGCGATTAGAGAGACAGCAGATCGGCCAAGAAAAATCCTGCCAAACTACAGAGAGGCCCCTCATCCACCAGCCCACCCTCGAGGCCAGCCCTCCAAAAGCTAAGACTTTCTCTCCCACATTGCAACCATCCCCACCCAAATCGTTGTCACCTACCTCGGAAAGAAGGCAGGAGAGAACTGGCGTGGTGTCCTCAAGATTTCTCCATGGGAGCTGGACACCTCGTCCCCATTCTGACTTCTTAGTTTTTAATTAACAAAAGGGGGGAGTGGGGGTGGGGAG